AAAAACATCATTTAAAGTAACATGAATGTCTTTTTCGACACCTTAAAATAGTGGTGCAGATATTTTTGTGGGGTGGATAGGAAGTTAAATAGATGAGGGGGGAAAGGGAAAATGGCAAGGGGTTTAGTTTATAACCTCATATTCTGACTCTTATCAATGTTAGAGTTTCCAACCAAGATCTCTTTGTACTGGAAGGGGCCTTATGTTACTTCAATTAACATTTTGATCAACAATATTAAGTCAAGTCCACCAAACCAGTGCTGTCTATGTTATTTCAGTTCCTGTGCATAGCTGTTTTCAGTCTTGAAATTTTCAGTTTTTTTAATCATCAAAATTGTTTCTATACGTGGACAAATTTGTTGAAAATTAAGATTTGGCAAATCACATGATTGATTTTTTACTGATATTATGGTTCCCTAATATCATTTGTAAGCTCTGCCTGTCTGACAACATGCCTTGTTCCCACTTGCCGTTTATTGCAGTATGCCGCTCTTTAACCAACATGTAGGTTTGGTGACAATTCTGCTTCTCTCAGTGTTTGACCCTTACTGTGCTTCTTTGCTGTGTTGACTGTAAATAATGGCAATCTGTAGTAATTGATATGTTTTCAGTTTTTATCATGTCTACTGAAGAGGGTGCAACATGACCATGCGAAAGTACTTATGATTTGCAGGTTTTCTTGAATCTCTATGGAGGGACATTGATATGAATAGGCTACACCATGATCTGACAGACGATCTTAATCTGATAATTGTGTCACATGGGCTTGCTATTCGTGTTTTTCTAATGAAATGGTTTAAGTGGACTGTGGAACAGTTTGAGTTCTTGAATAACCTTGGGAATTGCGAGTTTCGAGTGATGCAGCTGGGTAATGGGGGAGAATACAGTCTAGCAATAAACCATAGTGATGAAGAAATGCAAGAATGGGGATTGTCTCCTGACATGATAGCCGACCAAAAGTGGCGGGCCCATGCTTCCAAGGGTGAGTGGTACGAAAAGTGTCCATGGTATCTCGACACCTTCTTTGACCAGTTTGCAGACTCCAGTGGTGAGGACGGTGAGGACTTGCAGCACTGCTAATATTTTTGGAGACCAACTGTTTGTGCCGAGGAAGAGGAAGTATGAGACATGAACGTGAATTTATTTTCTTCATTTGTATTTTGAGAAACAACGAAGTATTGGTAGTGATCGCATAATTATTTTGTGTAATGAAATTATCTACATCATCATATCGCATCTCGGTTTCCTCAATTTTTTTGTTTTTTTTCGTATAAAAATAACAATCCCCCTTATATATAATTCCTGAATGCGCTGAGGCTACGTGGCTGTTTCTGGTGCTTCGGAATCCTACTTGGCGAAGAATCATGCTTCGTAATTAGGTTTGGACAAATAATATTGATATATTAATAATTAATAATCTAGGTTNNNNTTCTAAGGCCAACTTGGCCAACTTCAATCATCTATAGAGTTCTACTATAAAAATTACATAACAAGCAACATTGTCTAAGCATACAAATATCATCAATTAAAAGAGCATAAGATAGTGATATATCAACATCAGAAAACCCAGAGTTCAGGGCAGCAACAAGCCTCCCTAAGTCAATAGAGCAGCTCACTTTGGACCAACTATTTGATTTTACAATGCTAAGAGCCCATCTAACAGCAAGCAGATTAGCCTCCCAAATGTTGCTAGCCCAATTCCAGCTCTCATTTACTTCCATGATCACCCTTCCTTGAGATCTGGCCACAAGTCCAGCTCCTGCTTTGCCTTCTGAAGAAGTCATGGCACTGACTTGGATATCCACAAGTTCTACCATCAAAGAAAATTCTCCTTCATCAGCCAAACCAGAAGAGGAACTCTGCACAACATCACCAACCTGCCCTATGCTACCTAACTTAGAAAACTCTAACCAGTCTCTCTTAGCTCCTGCAACTACTTTCTGTTCATTGAAATGATCTCCTCTAAACACCAGATTGTTCCTGGCTTTCCACACAGGGAAACTGACAAAGATGATCTTTCTTTGATCCTAGCCAGCCTTTTACCATTACAAACCTTTTCCCACCACCCAACTAAGCTGAAATTTTCTTTCTTGAAATCCTCCCACTCAATTCCCATCAATTTCCAGCAAAGACCACTCTTATGACATTGGTAGAATAAGTGAATATCATTCTCAGCAGCTTCCCCACACAGCAAACAAATAGGATCAAGAGAAATACATTCGCTCTGTAAGTTAGCTTTGGTGCTGAGAAACCCTTTTAGTAGCCTCCACATGAAAGTTTTAACTTTAGGTTGCAAAGGCAACTGCCATGTCACCTTCCACATCCTCTTGTATGTCTTATCTGAATTGCTAGAGGAGACCTAAGGATTAGCCTTTGTACAGAGGGTTAGGAAATTTGTATAAGCAGACTTTACAGAGAACATCCCTCTTTTGTCAATATCCACACAAATCTATCTGAATTCCTGAAATGACTAAGATGAATTTTCAGAATCTCAGAAGCAGTGAAAGGATCAAAAGTCTTATTGACTAACTCCACATCCCAACCTCTACCCTAGGCTGACATTAACTCACTCACTCTAGACAACCGGACTCTATCTCTCTCTGACAAACACTTAGGGGTAAAATTAGGAATTCTGGGAACCCAAGGAGAGTTCCAGATAGACACTGTAGAACCATCACCTAACTGTACTCTCACACCCCTACTAAAGACCTGTCTCACCCCCAGCCAACTCTTCTAGAGCTAAGAATCAGAACTTCTTTTATTAACATCAAGAAAACTGGACTTATGATAGTATCTGCCCTTAAGGATTTTGAAAACAAGAAGATTAGGGTTAGTAAGGATTCTCCATAGCTGTTTAGAGATAAGGGCATTATTAAAAGACACAAAATACCTGAACCCTAGCCCCCCTTATTCTTTATCTCTAGCCAGATTCTCCCATGAGGTCCAATGAATCCTATTCTTACCATCCCCATTTTCGCCCCACCAAAACCCAGCCACCTCCCCATTTTTCCTTAACGGGAATTTGGACGAGGACATCTATATGCGGCAACCAGAAGGATTTATTACAAAGAGACAAGAGCATCTGGTCTGTAAGCTGAAAAGGTCCATTTATGGACTAAAGCAGGCTTCGAGGTCTTGGAACATCCGTTTTGACAAGGTTGTCCAATCATATGGATTTACCCAATGTCCGGATGAGCATTGTGTGTACAAGAAAAGTGATGGAAACGTGGTGGTGTTTCTTGTGTTGTACGTAGATGATATTCTTCTCATTGGAAACAGTGTGAAGATGTTATCAGACGTAAAGGTATGGTTATCCAAGCAGTTTGATATGAAGGATCTGGGAGAAGTAGGACATGTTCTCGGAATCAAGGTCATTCGGGACCGAGAGAGGAGAAAGTTATGCCTATCTCAATCCACATACATGGATACTGTCCTAAAGCGTTTCAACATGCAAGATTTCAAGAAAGGAGATTTACCCTTTCGACATGGAATACCTCTATCTAAGAAGATGACCCCGAAGACACCTCAAGAGATAGAGGACATGAAGGCAGTTCCTTATGCTTCGGCAGTAGAAAGCCTCATGTATGCGATGTTGTGTACGCGACCTGATATTTGTTATGCCGTGAGCATGGTATCAAGATATCAGAGTAATCCAAGACCGGAACATTGGTCTGCGGTAAAACATATACTCAAGTACCTACGTAGGACTAAGAAGTACATGTTTGATATAGGATATTATATACTCAAGGATAAACCGGCCTACTTGGCCGGTCGAGGAGGCCAAACCGGAAGCAGGCCTAGCCAAAAAGGCGGGAGAGTTGACGCTCGAGCAGCTCAAGGCTCGAACAGACAAACAATTGAGCAACCCAATGCTCGACCAGACAAGAAATCGAGCAGTCCAATGCTCGATCAGGTACATCGAGCAGTCTATAATTCGATCAGATAAGTGATCGAGCAAGCTAGTCGATCCCATCTGGGTGATCGCTTCGAGGAATTCATAATCGACCTAGTTATGGGCGCGTGTATCATAGGCGCGCGTAAGAGCCTCTGACTGAAATCTCCAGAGAATATTTACCCCATGTGCTGGGGAAACACGT